CTACTTCATCAGTTCCAACTACTTTCACTTTAACAGTTACTACTAATTCAATAATTTCAATTACTTCATCAATGACATCTTCACTAACAACAATGCCTACTTCTTTTATATCAACTTTGTCAATTACGTCTGAATTTGAAACGTTTCCTTCATCAGTGTTGACTACTTCAACTACTTCATCAGTATCAAGTTCAACAGCACATCAAGTTAGAAGTAGCATAATCATAGACAATAGCACGGATACTCCTTCCTTCAGTAGTTCTAATTTTATTCCTACCACTAGATTAACTAGTACATTAGTGACAGGTACAGTGTATGTTCATTTGTGTAGTTATAATGTACTTTATTGTATACATAGGTACTTCAACTGCTACATCCTCATCTGTTATAGCACGCTCATCCCTAACTTCTTCATCCATTGTCCTTTTATCCCTAACTTTGTTATCTTCATCTTCTTCATCTTCATCTCTATATTCTTCAACTATAACTTTACCTTTTTTCTCATCTTCATCTCAAACTTTGTCATATTCTTCATTCCCAATGCCTTCGTTCATAGCTTCATTTTTGTCTTCGTCTTTAAATTTGCCATCAGTAACTTCTAAAACTTCTTCCTCCCCAACTCCTTCATTGACAGCTCCTTCATCCATATCTTCTTCTTCATCAATTATTGGACTGGCTTCTGGGATATCAATTGCACTACTAATTATAATAATTGGTATGTACATTATAATCAAATGTTGTCATTAATATGTACATTGTAGTTGTTATAGTAATTGTAGTGGTAGCAGCAACAGTTCGATTTAAAAAGAGCAGAGGAAGAATGGAAGTGATTAATGACATTACATTATTGAAGAGGAATGAAAATAATAATCAAAGTACTGTAATTTATTTATTTATAGAAGGTTTTATTGTATTACAGGTTTACAAGAGCAAGAACTATCATCAGTTAATCCACAGTATGAGAATGTACATCTACCAGTTCCACAATCAGAACTATCAATGAAAGAATGTGCTGCTTATGGTGTAGTGGAAGGAACTAGATTCATACAGTATGAGACTGTAGATCTACCAGCTCCACAGTCAGAGGGAGACTATGAACTACCAGTAAAAGAATGTGCTGCTTATGGTGTAGTAGAGAGTGCTGGATTCCCACAGTATGAGACTGTAACATTAACAGTTCCTCAGTCGGAACTATCAATGGAAGAGTGTGCTGCTTATGGTGTAGTAGAGGGTAATAGACTTTAGAATTAGGGCGTGTGCTGGACTGGATTTGGTAAATTTTAACAATTAAAAATTTTGATTCAAAAAATTTAATACCATTGTAAACATTACTATATATGGTTAATTTCCACATAGAATAGTAATATAAGGGGAAGTCAAAATGAAGTACTTATTGATATTAATTCTTGCACTAATACAGAGTGTGCTGCTTATGGTGTAGTAGAAGGTAGTAGATAAGTACATATCAAACTACCAGTCTGAGAAATTGTAATTAAGAAATTGCATGCATACATAATGAGGTATGTAGGATGTAAAGCCACACCTTTACAACATTAATATCAAATTGCATGGTTAGTTCACTGAACATGATGGCCTTTGTTGCTGCTGTAATGATATTCTG